CAAAATCTCCTTTCTTTCACACTATCCCTAATCAATCATCCTTGCCAACCGCCTTCTGGAAGCAGAAAACACATCCTTGAAAATGCATGGAATCTGCAGGGCTCTTTGCTTGTTAAGACACTTGCCAATTGAGCATTTACAGGAGTCTAAAAATCTGCCTTCTGCAGCCCGGAGAAACCGGAGAAGCTACTTGATTGAATGGGGACCTTTGTGACCAAGCCCAACTGTTTGTTGCTGAGCAGGGGGCTGTGGGTTTGGTCTGATGCCTAAATCCACAAGACCCAGACAAAGAGACACATGGCTAGTGTGATGCCGGGTTTATTTATACATAAATGGCTCCACACTGCAACTGCAAGAACTGTACAAAGCAGTGATTCAGATTTCTTATTATGGCACCCCGTGTCAAGTTACCTATCCAGCACTGCCTTCTGCATCTTGCTAATAACCATAAGTGATTGCTAACAATAGTAGAAGCTGCAGACTTCAGTGTGATTTAAGGAGTTGTCTCTGAGGGGGGTGAATCTAAGCTTTGAGCTGGCAGAGAGAAAAAGATCCATCATTATGCTACTCTATTCAGGAACGCTGCTCTAGGCTCATTTTTGAGCACAGGCGCAGACTTGTGTGACTTCAGTATGCTTCATCTAGTTAATTTATTGTCTATGCTCTTTGTTGCAGTGTGTTTGCATCATTTTAAAGGTCATAAAAGGATTCAGTGACGTCTAAAATATAATGGAAAAATCATTGCTCCATCTGCAAAGTAATATGACCTTGCTGTTAGAGGACTGAGACTTAGGGATTCCTGGGTTCTAGTCACAGCTCTATCACTGGCTCACTCTGTAACCTTGTCCAAGTCCTTTAATACCCAAGTCTCACTTTCTCCAGCTGAATTTGGGATTAAACTGATTTCTGTCAGAGGGCTGATAAATAACGAATATTTAAAGCTCTTTTGACAACCTGTTACAGAAGGCACAATTAATCCACAGAGTATCATCTAACCTTTTTACTGAACAGTGGTTTTCTGGGAAATACAGGGATAGCTTTACCATGATAAAACTAATTCTTTTCAAATGGCAAGGATCCATATGTTTATAGCAATTGTGGGCTTGTTTTTTCATTACTAATACAAAATATTTTCAGAGTTCCTTTTTTTGAAAAAAAGGGAGTAGGGTCCCTTTCTGAATGTTTTTGATGGTTACAATAACTTTGTTAAATTTTTGTGACATTTCTCAAGATCTCCAACGAGATACTTTCAGTTATTATCGTAAAAACAAGACCAATAATGGGCATTGTTGAAAAACTTTTTTTGTGCTGACAGTTCTAGCGTGCCTGACCTATACCAATTGCCTTCATTGCACTTTTCCACCACCCTGCCTTCCTCACAGACACCAGTAAACCAAGGAGATCCCATTTATGAAAGTTCAGTGACATTCAGTTTTGTCACAGGAAACCTGGTCCTTGCTTTTGCATTGTCAGAGCGAGCCACATGAATGACTCAAAGCCCAGGCGCCAGGGGTGCGTTCCCTTTACCAGATATATAGGGCTGAACTTGATGAGGAATTGCTGGTTTTGACTTGACAATAGGAACTGTTGAAATGTTAAATGTTTTTCCTCTCTGGGAATGAAATCCCTCCCTTGGCCAGCACAGGGAAGAGGGGGCAGGACACCCTTGAATTGGACATCTGCTTAGAGGTGAAGTTCACCTTTTAAGGTTACTGGTGTTTTGCTTTGTGTGATGTTAATGATGAGAGGCATAGGCAGCTCAGTGAGCGCCTGGGATGGGGGTTATGCCGACCACTGCAGACAAGGGGTGATGGGAAGGGAAAGCGTACCGTCCGAGGCTACCACTGCCATTGCCCCCACTGCTGCTGTAGCACCATGTGCTGCACTCCCTAGCAAACTCTGGTCCCTTTTCACTCCTTCCCTGCCCCCTCCCTTGCCCGGCTTCACCCTCCCATATGTACATGTTGGGTGCAGGGCTAAGGCAAAGGCTTGGCAAAGGCTCCCATTCTGCTTGCTCAGCTTGCCCCCCTGCACCCCAGATATACTGCCTGGCGTGGTGCCCCTGCTGTAGTAAAGACTCTCTGTGGTGAGTTCTTCTGGTGCCCCCTCCTTGTCAGTGCCCCGCTCACCCTGCTCTGGTTATGCTAGTGAGAGTCAGTGAGTCCAGAAGTATCTTTATGCTATGCTTGGAAGGTCTTATAGTCCATAATGAAAATCTCTGAATTATTGGCAAATGCATCCAAGCAGGATGGTGGTGCTTGCCATTGGTTTGGTATGGTGTGAATGGTCCAGAACTCTGTAAAGGCTGCCTGACCTACTACAAGGCTATTTTTGGAGAGGGTGCTATTACTTCTGTCTCAAACAATATTTCTCCATATGGGAATTTTAGGTTGGGAGGCTGGCGGGGAGTCAGGGAACCTGGCTTATTTTGCAAGAGCAAGTCATGAGCAACTGAGCTAATGTGCGGGAGAAATTGGTGACATCTGTGGTATTCCTTGTAATGGCTAAATAATTCATAGTTCCATATGGCTGGTCAGTCATCAAGTGCACTTTCCAGGGCTTTGTCTAGTACAGACATAAGACATTATTCTGACTCCAGACTAACATAAATGACTCTTTATGGCACTGTATCTTGCCACAGTAAGAAAAATCAATAATTTTCCTGCTTTCACATGGATTCACCCACAACTCAGCAGCTTCCTGCAGGTCACATAAGCCCAATCATGTGTGCAAAGTTTGCAATCTGTTACAAAATTATCTGTTAAAGGCAGCAGTGATCAACAGGGACATTTTTCCCCTTTTGGGACCCTAAAAGTAAACGTGTTTCCTCAAAATCCAAACAGAATTATGGAGAGAAGTGAATAAAGCAAAGAATATTAGTGGGCACTGATGAAACCACACGCACAGGGGTTACCAAAGTGTTGCCCCCAAGGAACATGTCAAAGGGGCAGTCCTGGGTGCCAGGTCTCATCAAAGGGCCTTGCCAGCCACACTGGGGGAACCCCTACACTAAAAAATAGAAACTTAAGCTGTTATAGAAATCTTCATCTCAGGGCATAGCATAGCTTTCTATGTACATGTGCACATTTCCTTTATCACACTGGCATTGCCAGATGTCTACATCTAGATAACATGATGATGGATCACAGGCCACAGTATTTGAAAACTAACACGTTGTCAGAACTTTTAGAAACGATTGCTCAAGTTCTACTTGCTCTATTCCCCCAAGTAATCATCCCATTGAAGGCAACGGGACCACTAATGAGTTGCCTATTCATCAACTTACTGCTGATGACAAAATAAAAATAAAAACAATCGTGGTATAGCTAAATATGCTAACTTTGACCCTGAATAAAGGGTTAAAGATAAAGTGGTTTTCCTATACTAACATGGCAACAGAACCACACAGCTACAACAGCTAGGATGGCTATGTTGTAACAGCTTATATCAGTGTCCTTTAATAGCAAGAACAATCAACACCCCCTTTAATAGCAAGAGAATTGCCACACCTGTCTGCACCCTTAGGTAAAGTGATGTGACTACTTGGAGTGGACTCCACAGAAGTAAATGGGAGCTTTCCTGTTCACTTCATTGCTGCCATGATTTCCCCTTTGTGGTTTAAAATGGCTTATATCAAATGTTGCTTAACCTCATAAGAATTGACCTAAATCTACACAAACCAGGTTTAAAATTGTTCCAGGGTGTCCATGTCCATCTTTGCCTGATGGTTTATCTAAATAGCCTCTTACACTGATTTTGACCTCTTAAACCTTCATGTGTAGGCAAGACTTCACTTCTTGCCTAATTTCATTTGACTGAAGTATGAACATATATCAAAATCTATTCTGTGGTATTAGGAAATAATTAATTCCATTATATCATCATATCATGGTAGAGGCATATAGCTAATGCTCTTTGAGTTAAACTGCACAACAGTAGTATTTGGGCCACAACAAAAAAACCCCAAACAAACAGAAATGTATTTAGTTTAGGCTTATTACACCGCTCTGGCAATCCTGTATTCCATCTTGTTCATCACAAGAAACATGTCACTTAATATGTACAGATCTTAATCACAATTTTGTTTGAGCAGTCTCCTCAAATCGAGATAGAATAAAACATCAGTAAAGTCAGGCTCCTTGATTTTAAGGATACAACGGTCATCCTAAAATTCAGGGGCGGGTGGAGGGGAGCAAAAGTCACTTCTTTAAAGATGAATAGCATCAGCTTACATGTCACTGAAGGCCATTTAAGCCTTCAAAGCAGACCATAAGTAAAATGTTAGTGGTCCATAGGCCCCATGCTGATTCTTAGCATAAGCATGATTTTTCATCCTACTGAATTAACTTTTGGTAAAAAAGAAAATGAGAGACTTGGCATCACAGATGTCCCCTGGGTCCTGGAGAAATGTTTGGATTTAGAGATAACAGGCCACAACCAAAATCTTTCATCCCAACATATTTGAACCCCTGAGATTTTCTTGAAATGCCAATCTGTGTTTTGGTTTTGCTAATGGGACTTCGTCTTTATAAAGTGGCCAGACATTTAAATATCCCAACTTCCAGATCTAGCCTGGAGGCTTTTTCCTTCAGTTGGGACCCTTCTATAGATAGAAAAGTTTGCACGATCTCAGATGTATAAAATACGGTACTGAACAAAATGGAGGTAACAGATGTATATATGTCTAAATCTTAAAATATTTATTCTTCACACACAAATTTATTTTTTCACCTTCTCCTCTCCTTATTCTTTGCAACCCTCTCAAAGTCACCAGAGACTGGGGGTTATCAATGTGCAAGTCCAAATTTTGCACAACAAGCAGCTTCTAAATTAAGTTTTGCTCACAAGTGTATCCAGAGTGGAACGGCAGGAGGCGTTTAAAGACACTTGGTTGTCGTGACATTAAGGAAACGTGCTGAACTCTGGAACATCAGTATCCAGCACTCAGGCGGAAGACAAAAATCCAGGACATAGAAGCAATAAGAGAGAGACAAGAAAAATCAGGAGGAACAAAATATATGTGTTTTTTTAATATACATAATATAGCATAAAATAAAATAGGGACTAAGCATTATAAACTCTGACATAATATACATCATAATTTTCATTTCCAAAGCTCAGCTTGATATGATAGATCATGGCGCACAGAAGGAATTGAAGAGAAAATCTGGAAAAGTTTGTACGTCTTAGTCCTCTCTGAGAAGGATTCCAGTAATTTTCCAACTTCTGAGGGTCGAAATAGAAAACATGATTTTTGCAGCCACTAAGCAAATAAAGCCTTTTTGTTTGAAACCTCAGTCACATTTCAGTCCTGTTGCATAAGCGATGCCATGGCACAAGTTACTTTGTGTCTAGAGAGAGGTCACCTCATTCATATATGCACTGATCTTCCAGTGCACCGTATATAGTCAAACACTGCTTGCTATACAATTAAAAAGAGAAGACAAAGAAATTATATATATATATATATATAAATATATATATATATAATAGCATATACCAATTGTGGAAGCTTCTACATACTGGATCCAAAACATGCTGAGTAATAGGTTTAAGTGACCCATCAAAAGTGGGTATATTCCAAGCACCCTTTAATTTAGGATGTGTATTCCAGTCTCTACACATCTCTGCAACAGAGAAAACTGGTCGTTCTTTGCTGATCAGTCAGAGGAAGGAGCAATTTTTCATTGGTAGGTCCAGTTCCCGCTGGGTCTGCCATGCCTGACCGTATAATGGTTCACAGGTCTCGTCTCAGCAGAATGGTTGAAGTTCCCAGGCCACAAATGTGTTTTCCTCCTCTTAATCGCATTCCTGATTATCAGGATGACATTTCCTGCTAAACAGTACAGATTTGGTAGATGAACGTACCCAGACACTGGCAATTTTATACCTCTGTAACATTGAAGAATACAGCAGGCTCCCTGACTAGTTTTTGGGCTTAGAACAAAAAAAAAAAATCTGGATAAAAATTTTTAGAGAAAAGGATAGAATGCAATGTAAAATATTTTTTTTCCTGCCATTGTTTTAACATCTAGCTAGCACAGTATTTTTACTACCTGAAAACCACATTTTAGATTTTCCTTTTTTTCCCCTTCTCTTTTCTCCTACTGCATATTCTTTTTCTATATTTTATTCCTCTAAAATACTTCAGCAGAGTCCTATAAACTGTTCAGTTTTTGTCGTGCCTGTAAAATGTTCCTCCAGAAAGCTGTGTGGTATCCCCATAGAACTGGAATTCTTCATTCACACTTTCCATGGATCATCTTCTCACACGGTTATGGGAACAGTTTTCTAGTAGTTTGTAAAACAGGAAGCAATTTTTTCTTCTGGCATAGCAAGAGGCACTATTTCTTCAATTATTTTTAGGGCCTGTCAAAACAAAAGGAAAAAAGGGAGACATTTAACCTGAGTCAGCTAAATCTATGTAGTTGTTTGTCACTGCTCTCCCCTTCCTTCCTCCCTTTTCTTCTGTCGCTTCCCCTCTCCCTCTTTTTCCAATTTGTATTTTCCTTTTTTCAGTTTCTGGTTATCGCCAGTGCAGATTACTTTAGTTATACATCTGCTTGAATTGGTGAATAGTATTTGTCAACTACAATACTCAATACATTTTATCTCCTTTTGGTTTTGCAAAGCATTATAGTCTAGTGCTGTGGTCTGCAAATTTTGTCAGTGCTAGAATTAATTTCAAGAATATTAGAAGTGAACAGTGAACAGTTTTATGACCTATGGAGTATTCATGCAGTATCCAGGCACCTAAGAGTACATACATCAGTACAAACATGGTATGTGTCCATGGGCCCTTGGACTTGGACAAGGTTACACCTTGCACTTTGAGCTGCTTAAATGTGTCCATGGGCCTTGTTACACCTTGCACTTTAAGCTGCTTAAATGCTGATCATCAGTGTTAGTGCTAGCTTGAGTTTGGAGCAGTCACACCCTTAGTCTAGACACCTTCTCTGACTGTCCCCCACCTGCACAGCTGTGACTTGCCACCAGAGGCCTGGTGAGCAGGGGCAGGACTACAGGGCTAGTGAACCAGGACATCTGTCTGTCCCTACTCTAAGTGGGGGTGGGGGGATGAGGGATGGGTTGGTGGGACAGGAACATGAAGCTGGGAGGCAGAGAGTTAATGGGATGGGGATTGGTAATGAAATGGGAGGTAGAAAGGAAATGGGGGGGGGAAGAGTGGTGAAATGAAGGAAGTCAGGTACTGAGGGATAAAATAAAAAGAATTTTAAAAATGAAAAAGAAATAAAGAGGAAATGAATTAAAGAAGGTCTCACATTTAAATAAATTGGGATTGGGGTGTTGGGGGGTGCTGGTTGTGTTTCCTCAAGTGGCTGGAAGTTGGGAGCAGTGAGGGAAGGCAGTTTTGGGGAAGCTGCTGCCCCTGCCCCAGGAAGGAATCCCCAGCACATGGGGACCTGATTGAACCCCTATCTTGTACCCCCTCATCCCTCCCACACCCTACTCCTGGACCCATCTGTGACCTGGCTAGCTGGCGTGTGCTCTTCAGTCTGTTTGCATGAGGTTGCACCCCTGGGGTAGGAAAGTAACCCCCAGGGGCAGGAGGGAGAGTTAGCTTGGTGCCAGAATTGGCCCCTGAACAGTAGAGTTTAGGGGGTGGAAAGTTTATCCACCCAGAACAGAAGGGTGAGGAAGGGGGCACTGCATCCTGGGATGCTGGAGGACTGCAACTTGGGTGGCTTGTCTGTGGGGAGTGGCCACACATTCATGGAACATGAACTGGATAACACAGATCAGAAATAAACCTGCCCTGTAGTGGTATAACTTTAAGCTGCCTAAAGTGTGCTTAAAACTAGTTTCAGGTGTTAATCTGTGGATGATCCAGGGGTTAAGACCTCCAGGAACCACCTCAAATTCATGTATAACCAGCCCCTATGACTAACTTATCCCACAGTAGTAGGCGTTACACTGTTTATTACAGTATCTGGCCACTAAGTGGAGGAGGCTGGCAAGAGCTTGACTTGACCCAAAGGTCAGGCTGGCTGGAAACAAGCTGTGGTTGCCACCCCCTGGGATGCTGTGAGATCATTTCAAGGATGCCATACTAATATTAGCATCATTAAGTGTGCAAGCACCTACCCATGATTCACAAGATAAGCCCAGAGATGTCAAATAGGAATCACTAATGTCAAAGGTGGTCTGACCTGCGACG